ACGTCCCTACGTTGGCGACTCGCAGTATGTCTTAATATCCCTTGGTGGCTTCAGCCAGGGGTCTAAACCCCGATCGCTCAGCTTCGTTCTCCCGGCCCGATTAGCCTTGGCGGGCCCTCAGAATTCGGCGCACGGTTCCAGATGAGATCGGCCCTGTCAGCTTACAGATCGGGTATCGCGTTAAGAAGATGACCGGACCTGGAACAGGTACATCCGTCTATTGACAGGACAGTGACAGCTGAAATAGAGGCAACGCGCCTCGCTTTGTGTCCCCAAAATGAAGCTGTCGCTGAAAGGCCACACTAATCAATTCCTCGCTCATCACCTGCCACGGGCTGCAGGTGGCGCCGTGGGGGTCTGGCGTCACTGAACTGGGCTGATCTTATGCTAGAACTGCTTACATTGCAAAGGTATATGGCAACGGTAAATGGTCTAAGCCAGGGTGTGCTCTACCCCAGGCAAAGCTTACTTGGGAGCTCCCTACCAAGCAAATTGATGATCATTCCACCTTCTCCGCAACACAAGTAATTTGGGATCCCTAGGCAGCTGCTGCTTCTTCCTCTAGATGGAGCTATGGAGCCAGCCATGTTTATGTCTATATTTTTTCATGAATCTGTCTGGACCCCGTCGTACTGATCGGACCCTAGGCGGCTGCCTAGTTTCCCTACCCCTGTATCTCTCCCAGTGAAAATGAAAACCACTCTAGTTTCTCTGTTCTGGGTCAAAGGTCAAGATGTCTGGGCTGATGGTCTCACTGGGAGAGGCAGAGGGAACGGGGAGAGGGAAGGCGGGGGGCATTTCACAAGGACAAGATGACTGGGCTGAGCAGGCCGTGACCCCACGATTGGCCTCCCTCGCTGGTCTGGGGGGTGTCGGGGGGGTTAGATAGCATGGGAAAGATTTCTGAGCGTAGAAATCCTCCCCGAGATCCCTGTCAGCGCGAGTCCGACAGATGCGGAGCTTGGGGTGGATGAGAGGGTGACAACAACGGATTTAATGGGGATCCAATTAGCCCATCGGGGGGCTGGGGGATGGCAATAAGGTGCCCCGGTGGAAGTAAAAATAATAAATAACCATCACCTGCATATGAAAGCCGTTTGTCGCGTCCCGTGCGCAGATTGACCTACCTCCGATACGCCATCGACTTTATTACTCTAAATTAATTTGATATTTATTTGCCTTTTTCCAGGGGGCGTGAAAATAAAGGCTCCCGGATCAGTGGTAATTATTCTGTACACACAAAATACAAATTGAAGAGGAATAGATGAGGTTTATTAAATCATCGTGGGTGGAGGGTAGAGAAGGCGTTGATGAATTGTTATAACCCAAATTTGAAAAATCCTGGGATTTCCTTCAAAATATATACAACTAAACAGGGAAATTATGTTGGGAAAATGTGGACTATCTGCTGAGCCAATAAGTTAATATGACAAGAAGCAAAGTTTTGATTCTTGCCTGATTAGTGGATAGAAATGAAGATCTGTGGTTGGGGTTACTTCGGGCTACCAATCATGGCCCGTTGTTGGTTATTTCACTGGTTTTCATTTTGGGAAATCTGGCAGTGATTGACAGAGCATTATAATCTTGCCCATGGAGTTTCCGTCCCATTGTGGATAGCGCATACAGCAGGGTCACGACTCAAATTTGGGTCCCGGCAAGTTCTGAAATGGTCACGAGCTCCTACACTGATCCACAATCAGATTTCCCAACTCCAATCCTAGAATTAACCTATAGAAATGGGTCTTGGGTCTGCAACTGCGTAGTGCAATACTAGTGAACACTCAACCAATCCAAAAGGCCAAACCACAGATGCTTAATTTAAAGTTCACTGGTACATCCAATCAGATTTGTGTGACAGGCATTGATTGGCGTAAACTTCAGAGTGCACTGTGTGCTTGATATTAGTGTTAATTTAAACCTGTAGTTGACATAGAGTCGCTAATGAGCTGGCATGGTAAAAATTGGGTTGAGAACCATTGGCGTACAGGATGGTTCAACGAAAGTTGAACCTGTCATTTAGTGGTTGGCATGCTGTGGTGACACTGCCGAGGAATGGGATTGGCCTTCACGCCTTGGCAAAGTGCATACCAAACTTTAAAATCAGCTTTGTGAGGGGCGGCATTGTAAGCTGTAGAGAGAGCAGTATGAACCTGCCGTTAGCCGTCGGCTTGGGGGTGAGGTGTTGGGTTTTATTTCAGCAGAGCTGTTGGATTTCACGCTGGAGGTTGGATACCGGACACGACGGGCGCAGCCCATCTGCTCCGCCCCAGACTTGTTAATGAGTCCTGACCGCACGTCCCGGCAAGTCAGAAGGTCGAGGGGACACTCTCCGCCCTTTAATTTGGGGTCTGGCCCGTGTGCTTCCGCTTTCGTTGGACATGATGACCTCCGATCCCCCCTAAGCCGGCATTTTTCGTGTTCCTTTAATGGAGGATTACGCTGCTCAGACCTCAGATGAATGTCCCCCCCCCATGGAAAGACTAGAAGAGCCCAACAAGAGGCCGATGACCTTCTCTTATGTGGACGAGGGGGGTTTTGTGAATGTTCCTGCAGGTGCTGTAAAGAAAACACTGACTGCTTAGACTGTCAACTTCTGCTTTTCCTACAGTCAGCTATTGGAGGAGATATAATTAGCAATATCTGTGGTTAAAAAAAGCCAGAACCGACTAAGCATTCCCGGGAAGGTGTGTTTTCTGTCAGTATGGCACTTTGACGCTGTTACTCTGAAGAGATACACAAACTCGATGGCTTCCACTGTACAGCGTAGCCTTCAGAAGAGGGTGACCCGTCAGCCAGTACGCTCATGGGAATTTTACTTACAGAAAAATATTCTGAGGGCAGAAGGAAAAATGACTGGTTCAGAGAGAGAACCTGATTGTGGATCAGCTTGTAGAGGAGGTGGGTCTAAGCAACTAGAGGAGGCGGGACCAACCAATCAGTTGTCTTGGACCCAGGTCCTCTACAATATGATTGGTTATTTTTCTGAACCAATCATTTTTCCTCCTGTCCTTAGAACATGTTTCCATAATTAAAAGTCCCACAAGCAGCTGGTGTTCATGGCTTGGCAGGGATTGTCCACACACTAGTTCCAAACAGACCAGACTCTCTCTCGACTGAGTCCTGCGGCTGTGTGGTGTTCGCCAGACCTGAGTTGAAGGGAAGGGAGGTTGGATGTAAAGCTGTTCCTCTTTCACTCGATGGAGATCACTTTCATAAACATGATGCTCAATTATCAACGTCCGCTTCTTGGTGGGGTTTACTTTGAACAGTCACAGTTGCCCCATTTTTAGAATCAGTACCACTGTCGTCTGCTTCAGTGTGAACCATAACTTCATCTCGGACAATGTTTCAGTCGTCACAAAACCGTACCTCCTGAGTCCATCAGATTGCAGGCTCCTTTTGAAGAAAACGTCCTTAAGAACCAGGTAATCTGAGTACCCGTCTCAAGCGTGTATTCTGTTTCTTCCCCAGTCCTCTACTTCTCCGCCTGGATTTGGTCTCGACAGCCGTGACGACCCGTCAAAGCTCAGCACGCTTTATCCCTGTGACGGATAATCCGTTTTGCTACTGTGCCCGCACTGCCTGAAATTCACACCAGGGGGTGGGAGGGAATCGTCCTGAGGAGCTCAGGGCAACACAACAAGGTTCTACCAGGCCACAGCAAGTCTCAGGTGACCCCCCCCCCCCCATGGAGGACTCTAGCCATGTGTCTGAGTTGGGGGGCACAGAGAAACCTAATCCCCATTCTTCCTGCCTCCCCTCTATGAGCGAGAGAAAAGTAGGATAAAATAAAGCACAATGCTGGAAAGGACAAGCCATTTCACTTTGTTTTTCAGTTTATACAGGAGCTTATAGTTGATACCTCCACTCAGCCTTGGCAAAGCCTGCTGTTCTGAGATCTCTGCAACAATCCCACTCATCCAATAGTGACCAGGGACGTCTCTCCCCATGGGACCCCGATCTCGATGGTGTCCTCAAGTGCTCTCCTATGTGTCTCATCAAATTAAAAGAAAAATCGTCAGGCCGATAAAAATCTCATTGCCCTCACGACTAGGTGTTATCTGTCATGGAACTGGTGTCTGAAAATGGGGAAATGATCTGGCAAGACTGTTCAGGAACTTGGCTTGAGAAAAAGAAGAGGAAGAACGTGCTTGTCGACGCCAATCCGAGTGCGGCTTTGATGGAGGTGCTGCAGAGTGATGGTGCAGATGCCTCACAGGTGTCATCTCTGTTGCTCGATAACCGATGGGTGACCTTTTCTCCTTCATACCCAAAATAACATGATGCAGTCACTGCTACCTCACCTGTTCTGCCTCGTTGCTTTGATGAGGACAGATGGAACGGAAACGTCTATCACGATGTCTGACAATAAGCCCCTCCTCTCAGCTGCACTCAGTAGCGAACAAGTTCTTCGGGCTGACTGGATGGAAAAAGGCAATTCGCTGCTTTCCCAGATGCAATGTCACCTCTCCGAAGACTGATTGATTTGTGACTAAGGAAGAATGAAAATTGGGCAGACATATGCAAGCTCTCCATAACGTCTTTGAAGTCAGGATTTTCACTGCTTTTATTTATTTCTATGCCATCATCGAACTTTTTTCAGGAAAAATAAGTGTTTGACTTTTATGACTCATTCTGTACAGGCAGCTATCGAATAATTTATTATTTATTAAGGTCATGATTGAATAGCACGAAGCATAAAATGCCAATTCGGATTTTCAAAATGAAATCAGCTCCATGGAGATTTACAGGCATGACAAGCAGAAAGAGCAACCGGCCTGGCATGATGTCACATAGTCGGGAG